AGCCATTAAGCTAACTGCTGGTTCCCTCTTTATTTTTGACAGAGCATGTACAAGTGAGAATGAGAGAGAAAGAGGCTAGAGCCCTTCCTCCAGCCTGTCAGATCTTGGGCTCTCACACTCATGGCCAATGTGTTTCTGGCTCAACAGGTGGGGAATTCAAACCACAGGCATCATGGGGGACTGGGCTTCTCTTGAGCAGCACATTAACACTGTGGCATGGAGCTGCCTGGCCCCCTTCCCCAGAGGACTTTTCCAAAGGAGCAGTAAGTGCGAGCCAGGTAGGAAGGAGGATGTGTGTGCGGGGCCTCTGCTGAGTAATCAGCATTAGCTGCAAGGAAGCTCCAGTCTCTGTAGGTAGAACCCTGGGTAGGAGGGACTGGGTGGGGATAACATGACAAACAAGCTCATGGAAGCCTCTTCGCCCTTAAAATGTATCCTCGGAATGGTGGGAAACATTGCAGGTTGTAGCCAGAGCATGCGTGGAAAGGTCATTGCTGTGTGAAGGTGGTGGGGAAACACTGACCATAGAGAAATAATGGAGGTGAGGCCTGAATGGAGTAAAGATGATCTAGAACCTATAATATCAGAAAGAATGATCTATTCCCGTAACTTCTTCCTCCTCTTTGGCCCTGTGTACCTTTGCTTACTGCTACAGGACCTCCCAACAACTGATCAGAGATGGTACCAAGCAATGCTTTGGCAGTTCAGATGGCATTCGAAAATGGATGAAGAAAACAACTAAGCTCTTTCAAACTTCCTGGTTTAGTTACTGGGTATGGTTTAGTCACCAGGGAGGAGCTTGGGGGAAAACAGAACCTGCATGCCAACCTATGATCGCAGATGAAGGTGCTTGGATCCCACATGGCCTACCAGACAGTTTGAGTCCTGGACTTAGAGGCTTGAAAAACATGCCAAGCATATGTGCATGCATGCCCAAAATCCCAAAAGGAGGAAGACATGAAGGAGAAGGAATTATGGCATGATCACTCCCCTTGGGGGTGCTTTCTCACTCTCTCTCTTTCTCTGTCTCTCCCCAGTGAGCACACATGACCGCTGGCAAAAATAAAGAAAAAAAGGAACCTGCTTCCCAGAGGCCACATAGTAAGTGCTATTAACACAGCTCTGCATCTGCAAGTCCAACTCCTAAACACATTTGTGACAGTGTGTGACCTTCCTGGTAGGCTGGAGGTACTGTAGGTGCTCAGTAAATTCCTGTGATTAACACTAGCAGCCCTAGCAAGGAGATCGCCAAATCCAGGAGGCTGGCAGTCACATCCAGCAGCTCATCGCCTTGGGTATTCGACATCTATGCTGTAGTGCTCTCAGCTCTAACCAAAGGACGCTCCTTCATTGGGCTGTGGTATGGATGGATGAAGCGACATAAAGCAAGCAAGTCTAGCCAATATCCAGCCCAAAGAAATGATTGCCGATGGAAATTGTTACACAAGTCTTACATATTTAGCATCAGCCCAGCCACTCTTTGGAGACCACATCTTCCCTTCACCAATTAGCCCGAGAGCAAGATGAGAGAGTGGGGCGAGGTCTCCGCTGGCACCAACGGTCCCCTTCTCTGGAACGTAGGGCAGGCAGGAGGCTGGGAGGGAAGTAGACACCAGTTACTTCCAGTGGACTTCCTTTTGGCCAGCCTTGCTCTGCCAGAGAGGATGCCCCCTCAGCCCTCCCGGCCCCACCACACCTCCCCCCACAGCATTTAAGATCTCTTT